ATGGAAATGCACAATGAAATTATCCATCAAGCCTCGTTGTAACAAACCTGCATGGGGGAACAAAGCAGGAACCCAATATAGGCAAAGTGGCTCCTTTGTTATATCTGACCCTGAGCTGAAACCACACTGATGGTAATGGGAGAGTAAAAGTGATCTGGCTGTACTCTGCGGACCACGCAAAGACTCGGATCAAGACATTACAAATTAGCTTAAGCTAATGGAAATATTAAAACAGTTCCTCCTAGCAGAGTCTCCTCTATCAGGAAAAACTAAATACCGGCCACAAGTCTCTTGTTTTCCCCTCCAGACAGGACGCACAGAATCACGTTTCAGCTCATTAAAATGTAACAAGTGTATCCTTTTTGGATGGGGTCATTATTGTGCTTATATATGAGGCACTAGCTGTTCACAGTGGCTTTAGAAAGTATTCAGACACCTCCATTTTTTGCAAACTTTGTATCTGATGTAATATTAAATGGGCAAAGGTAACCGTTGTGTCCCATAAAAACGTAAATCTGCCCAACAACAACATTATGTAACATAACATAACAATATGTAATACAAGGTTTTCCGAATTTTTATTTGACATTAATTAAGCAATCACAACCTTAATCCATTAAAGCCAACTTTGCAGAATCCCATTTGGTTCTTGGCCAATTCTCTACAAGTTTTGAATTGCGTTTTATCTATTAAAACTCAATGACTTGACACTTATAAAGGTGGTAAAGTAGCAACCTTAGAGCTTGGGCACTGGGTTCCTGCAGTATTTCACACTACATACAATTCCTGTTTGCATTTTGCAAATTCATCACTGCAGTGACCTTTTCCTCTTGTGCGAGGTATAGGGACAAATGCATTCACGGAGCCAGAGGCTTTATGTAATATATACAGTATATATAATGTATACCACCCTGAAAACAGATGTCAGATTTTCATCGAAAGATTAATGGTCTCTCTTCAAAAAACTTGAACTTCACTTTGATTGTCTCTCTCCATTCTTTTCTGTATCGAGTTTTGTTAAACATTGTGATCCAGCAGCCTCTGCAGCACTGCAAGACTTCACTGTCACTCTCTGCACACAGACAACTCTCTTCAAATCAGCATCAAAGTAGCTGGCTATTACAAACACAACCCTTTTGAAAAGAAAAACCTGCTTAAATAATTGTTATTGATCTGTTTTTATTTCACACTCATGGAAATGACCACCGTCTTTCTGACAGGAACTCGATGATCAGTGACACCTTTTATCCTGGTGGTTTAAATTCTCCGCTGCATCCAATAATCAGGATTAAGACTTCATTTGACCGACAGAAGTATTATGGTTAGCAACTTTACTACAGCCTTAATGTAATGAAGCTTTTTTCATTTTAAGAAAAAAATAAAAAGCCTAAAGGGCAAGTTAGAAACACGATTCCCCTTGTCAGTGCTGCAACATCGACATTTGTGCTGACACCCGCACTGTGACATTTACAGGTAATTGGCTTTTTCTACCCTTTACATTAACAACACCCTGACTCCACTGTTCCTCCCCCCTCTGTGTGATGCATATCTTGTTGTCTTTAAACTCAGCCCTACATCCACCTCTTTGAGTTCGTTTGTTACATTTACAGTGACTTAAATATCTGTAGACAGCGGTCCCATTTTTATTCATTGCAACAAACTCCGGTTTCCTTTTTCTTGATTTTACAAGTAACTAAATGTGTCAGATAAATGTAGTCGAGCAAAAATACAATTCAACATGTTGCCCCTTGGAGTCAAAGTATAAAATGGAAAGTTAAGCACCTCAAAATTGTATTTAAGTTACTTTACTAAGTACATGTACTTTCCGCCACTGACAATAACAACTACCCTACAATTACCTAAAAAATACGAAACTTTCAGAAGTCAGATGGGGACCACAAGCTGCGATGGGAAATGGGAAATATAAGATGCACATCCTGACATAAGTTCAATAAGGGAATATATTTTTGCTGATGGCAAAGTGAACCGATATTGAAACCCACTTCCCTGAACGTCCAAAGCCATGAGGGTGGGATTAATGGTGAGGAACGCAAAACCATCACTATTGTTTGCCGACGGTGCTTGATCGCCATTTCCTGCGATGGATTCTTTACCAAACAGACAGCTATCTGAAAAATCCAATAACAATTACAGATTAGCCTGAAGACCCTTTATAATGGAATCTGAGGAGAAATCCATTGATGCATTTTACACATTTTCCTGACAAACTGTAGGCCAAAGCAACTTGTGTTAGCATTTCTGTTCATTGTTAAAAAAGTTCTTAGAGAGGTTTGGTTTGATAATGTTTCTTACATCATGAATCAATTGGGAATTCAGCTGTGGTAATGATCATTCAATCCAATCCAATCCATTTTATTTATATAGCACATTTAAAAACAACAGAGTTGAACAAAGTGCTGTACATCAACAACTGTATAAAAACATAGCATAAATACATAAAAACAGACAGGACATGAAACAAATGTAACACGAGACAATGAAACCAGATCAGAAGCCGCGACTGAAAAACTCTCCTATATGACGTAAAAATAATACAAAACACTAGTAAGGTAAAAAATAAATAAAAATAAAAATAAAGAACAGCACAAGTGTCACCTGGTCTGTACAGTAAAAGCCAGGGAAAATAAGTGGGTTTTTAAACGAGATTTAAAAACAGGCAGAGTTGGAGCAAGTCTAACCTGGAGGGGTAATTCGTTCCATAACTTTGGAGCTGCAAAGGCTCTGTCTCCCCGCTGCTTTAGCCTCGATTTTGGGACTACCAGAAGGAGTCTGTCAGCAGACCTCAGTGACCGTGTGGGTGTGTATGGTTTTAAAAGATCTGCCAGGTACGGTGGGGCTAAACCGTTCAGGGCCTTGTATGCGAACAGCAACATTTTAAACTGTATTCTAAAATGGACTGGTAGCCAGTGTAAAGAGGCGAGTACAGGCGTAATATGTTCACGCCTGCCTGTCCTTGTAAGGAGGCGTGCAGCAGCATTCTGGACCAGCTGTAGGCGTGACAGGGAAGCCTTGGTCACTCCAATATAAAAAGCATTGCAGTAATCCAGTTTAGTGGATATAAAACAATGTATTATCTTCTCAAGGTCATTAAAAGAAAGGAAAGGCTTGACCTTTGCTAAAAGTCTTAGTTGAAAGAAGCTGGATTTGACCACAGAGTTAATCTGTTTGTCTAGTTTAAAATCACGATCAATCCGTACACCCAGGTTTGTGACAATGGGTTTCACATATGGGACAAGAGAATCCAGCACAGGTGGGGCATTGGGGCCACCACTGGGTCCAAATATTATGACCTCTGTCTTTTTTTCATTGAATTTTAAAAAGTTCAAGGCCATCCAGGCTCTGATGTCCTGCAGACAGTCAGACAGGCGTTGCTGAGGGTTTGGGTCATTTATTTTCAGGGGCATGTAGATTTGCGAGTCATCTGCATAAAAATGAAATGAGACACCATATTTCTTAATGATAGCGCCCAGGGGGAGCAGGTACAGGGAAAATAAAATCGGTCCAAGAATGGAGCCTTGGGGTACCCCGTATGGGAGAGGAGCAGAAGAGGAAGTAAATTCATTAAGATTTACATTAAAACTTCTTTCAGACAGATACGACTTAAACCAGTCTAGAGCAGTACCACTGATTCCCACAAAATGTTGCAGGCGAGAAATGAGAATACTGTGATCTACAGTGTCAAAGGCAGCTGTCAGGTCTAAAAGTATAAGAACAGCACTGTTCCCAGAGTCAGTAGCTAAAAACAGGTAAATTAAACCTTTAATCATTAAAGCATCCATCCTCACTTAATGGCAGCCATAGTTCATTTTTACAGTTTTGTTTACATTTTACTGTGAATAAGCTAGCATTGTCTCAAATGTAATCCCTCATTTTCTGCATTTACTTTTTATTGCAGAGGTTCAACAGCTTTTGGTTTTGCGATGAGGTATGAGATTTAAAAAATAAAATAAAAATATTTCAACTTTTCAGATAACTTGATATTGGAAGAAGGTCAACAAGAGTTAAGAATATTGATTATTGTTTTCTGCAACACAGGAAAAAGAAAACAAATAAGCATAGTTTTTGAGTGATGGAACACTATTTGTCAGATTTATTATCGGACATAAAGTGTGACGAATAAATCCAATATTATTCAGCCATTCGTGCATCTGTGTGAATAATAATAATTGAAAATCAATGCTTATCTGTACCAAGACCCCTGTCATTAAAAAAAGTGCGGATTGAGCAATATGCTAATATCCCATGTTGCCCACCTGAGTCAGGAAGCCAAACAATCAAAACTAATTTACCATCAATCAAAGCAAAATTAGATTATCTGTCGTGGTTATGCTGCAGCTAGTCCCTAAACCAACCTCTGCAACTCCACAGTGACACCCATTCATTATTTTGTTAATGTGTTTCATTCATTAAGAAACCATCTGAACATTATATTGGAAAATAACATTTGAGCTTTAAGTGTAGAAGCTTCTGAAGAGCTGCACCTTAGAGACCCCTGTAGAGAACGATATTTGACATCACGAGCTCTAGTAACAGCAGCTCATCCAACCGGAGATTATACAAAGGGACAGCCAATCGATGCTTTCAGGAACAGAAGAGTGAAGAAGATGTGCATAAAGTTCGTCAACAGTTTAAAGTGCATTTCCCCAATAAAGAAAAGACACTGATGACAGGTTGGTTTAGATTTTAGAGTTATTTTAGTGAAGAACATATGGCGATGAATAAATGCAATGAACCTGAGCTGCAAACCTTGTCTGAGTGAGTGGGCGGTACACCTTACTGTATGCCATGTCACAAACGAGAGGCATATTTCTTCTGATTCACTGAGTTTTATTTCATGTCCACATGAGTTATCCCCCTAGGAGTCACCCAGCATGCGGAAACAACTATCCAAAAGAAAAGTTAAACACCAATAACCTGGTATATCAGTGCTTCTGTGTGGCAGTTCCTGGTCAGCATAAAAACTATTGCATATTTCTACACATTATTCAGAAATTCATTTATTTTTGTTCATGCAGACTGTGTAACATCAGTCAATTAGAGATCTATAATACCATTTTGAAACAGCAAACAGTATTGTTGTCGTTATAGACTTTAGCTGAAATCTCACTCTGAACTTTCAGCTGGCAGACAAATCAATACAGGGCATTACTTTGAAAAAACATTATCATTATGGCCTCCGACATGCATCATTGCTGTTTTTTCAAGCATAAAATGAGTTTTTAGACCTCTGAGCAAGGCTCAAATTCCCTTAAGATTTCCGGGTTTTAGTGACGCTGTGTATAAGCCCTTGAAGAAGAAAAAAACAATCGACAGCCACCATATTTCTCTGTCAGATTGCAGGAGGAAGACAGTTCAGAGAGTCAGGCGGTGTGATGGAGTGCCCTGAGAGGCCCGGAGTGACTTGCAGTCATAAAGGGAGTGACAATCCATTGAATCTCATTTCGCTGCCCCATTTTCACAAGTCTCGTTGTCATACATCTCTATATCCTGGAGACTGGAGGCGTCCGTCTCATCTCCTGCGCTGCTCACACTGTTCCTGAAGGCGATACTTCCGATAAAGGGATACACGCTTCCTGCGAAGAGGTCTTTTATGTTATAATAAGGAATCTCTGGATCTTTTCTTTCAGGCTTAGTGATACCCTTACCCTCCATGGCTTTGTTTCTTTGATAGTACTTTGAAAACTTATTGAAGATAATGGTGATGGGCAGAGCCACCACCAACAGGCCACACACGATACACAAGGTCGCCACTATCTTCCCCGCCAGCGTTACCGGGCAGGTGTCACCGTAACCCACTGTGGTCATGGTGATGGTTGCCCACCACCAGCCAGAAGGGATGGTCCCCAGATCTGTGTTCTCCACATCCCTCTCTGCCGAGTAGATGAGGGCAGAAAAGATGGAGATCCCCACCGAGAGGAAGAGAAGGAGCAGACCCACCTCTTGGTAGCTGTGTCGGACGGTGGCGCCCAGCGCTCGCAAACCGATGGAGTGGCGAGCCAGCTTCAGGATCCGGAGAACCCTCATGAGGCGGAGAACCTGCACCACCTTCCCAACATTTTGTAAGTCCTCGTTCTCCTCTGCGGCTTCCTTATCGGCTGTTTCCAGAGCTAAAGTTGCGTAAAATGGCAAAATGGAGGCAACATCGATGAGGTTTAAGGGGTTTGAGAGGAACTTCCTGCGTGAGGGCGAAACAATCAGCCTGAGGAGGAACTCAGCGGAAAAGCAGGCGATGCAGACCTCCTCGAGGATCTCAAGGACAGGATCCTCGATGAGTTTATCGTTTTCGTCCTTCTTCTGATACTCAGGCATGCTGTGGACACACATGGCAACGATGGAGGTCAACACCAAGCTGAGGGAGGCCACGGCGATGATCTTTGAACCTGTTGAGTGACCAGGGTCCTCCAGCCGCAGCCACACGTAGCTCCTCACCTCTGCACACCAGGCTCCTTTGAACTTGGCCATGTCTTGATCGAGCGCAGAGAGCTCCTCAAAGGAGGAGTCCAGGCTGGGCTGCTGCTGGTCGTCACTCCTCACATCCCAGTCTCCGTCGTCAATGTACTCCTTCCTCTCGTGGTACCAGTAGCTGCAGCAGGGGCTCAGGTGGAGCTCCTGGATCCCCCAGTACTCTATCTCCTGGCTGAAGGAGAAGACGCACACCTCCTCCATCATGTGGATATGTCCCGTGTGGTAGAAGTTGAGCACACCAAGGAAAACCTGGGGATTCCTGTCGAAGTAGTACTCCTTCTCGGACGGGCTGTAGTCGTCACATAGCTCCAGGATGGCCGCCTCACTTTGGCAGCACAGCAGACGGGCCAGGCGTGTGTGAGGGAAGCGGAGCAGCATATCCGGATCCACGTGGTGCCGAAACCCCCCCACGTTGAGGTGGACCTGGTCCTCCTCATTCCCCCGCCGGTGGAGGATTTGCCCATACCCCATGGTCCTGATGATGTAGATAAATTATGATTAGAAGCCAAGTATGTCAGTTATATAGCTTTATATATGCCCCACAAGCATTACAGTCAAGATTTTACAGTGGTACATTAATGTGGTCTGCTGTCAATCAAGACATATTTAACTGCACTGTTTGTAGAGCACATTAGTCCTCTGAAGGAAAATAAAATCAATACAACATCCACAGGAAATGGCTTGAGCTAGAGTGAGGGAAGAAGCGTGAGGTGCTGTCACTTCTTCCATTGCTCAAGTACAGGACTATCACCAGAAGAATCAAATTACAGACTAAACTAATCAGAGCAACAAGTTGAAACTGAAACCACACATCATTACAAGCAGTTATTAGGACTGTTTTCCTGCATGTGTAGCTTTCTATATTGTTCATTAAATACCCTTCTAGAAATTCAGAGCAACGAGCTGGTTTGACTAATTTTTTCACCAAACCCTATTTAGAGATAAACAATTACTTTTTAGTTTTCTACAAAAACTGAATGCAAAACGTGAAGCTGGTACGTACCTTTACTTGCAGCCTTTCTTTCCATGAAAACAACTTTATCCGGGTGGTTAAGTTTTCACATTGTGGTGTAGCTGCGGGTCGGTGGAGCTGCAGCCTCGCGGAGCAGAGAGCTGGAGGCGGGACAGCAGCACCAGTGGTTTGTTCCCTTTTACAGGGAGCAGGGAGGGGAGAGGGAGGGGAGAGGGGAGGGACACTGCACAGATGTAGGAACACCCTGCGAGATATTTGTGTATTCATTTTTTATGGCTTTTTATTAACCCTACTCTATCACTGTGTCTGTATGCTTGTAATATCCCTCATTACATGAATGCACTGCAAACAGTTGTTTATATTTCAAATAAAGATATATATATATATATTGATCCCAATTTGGGATTTTCGTCACAGCAGCATGTAGGTAAAGAATTGAACATGAATTGGAAGTAAAAAAAACGAAAAAAATGCAAGACAGTGAATATTAATAATGAAGGATATTTATTGAATTTTATAATATTTTGCACATTCGAACAAAAGCTACCTTCTTAACATCTGCACAACTTTCCACTTTTCATAACAAAACTGCTCATATTTTATTTTGTTATTCTGATGATCTTTGTCATAGTATACTGTAGTGTAGCCTACATAGTTTTTTTCGTATATCGATCCATGTAAATTATTTTCTATATCTTAATGTTATAAAAATGCCTATGTGTAAACCTAGTTGGCAATTTACCTGTTTCTGTTTCTGATACTAAAGGAAGCTGTATTGTTGTTATGATAAGCTCATGCGATTTTATTTTTTGTTTTGAGTGCACCTGAAGGATTTTATTGTTTATTATTATATTTTTATACAGTGGACCTGAAGTGCAAGTCAAAACAACATTTCACAAAACACTACAGCATTTCATAAAACACCACAAAACACTTCAACATTTCATAAAACGCTACAGCATTTTACAAAACACTTTAACATTTCAACTTTTACGGAAAGGGTATTCCTTTAGGGAGAACACTTCTTGTTTGTGATTGGACAGAGCCAGTCAAGAAACGTATTTCCTGTTTGGTACTATTCAGCTGTTTCTGCACGAATTTTAAACTGAGTTGGAAAGATTGGAAGAAGAGATGGAAATCTTAAGGGAATATTTTAACAACGCATATACATGATGTTATATCCTCAACATGCTGTCAACCCATCACCACATCATCATGTCCCAAAAACATCAGCGGTTAGCTGTTAGCACACAGAGCTTACAGCTCCTCATATCTGTTCAGAAACTGGACAAAAGTTAAACATGAACAAAACACAGACAGTCATGGCGAATAAAGTCGCTGCTTTATTTCTGTGTGTATCAGGTTGTTGTGAGTGTGGACGGAGCAGGTTGTTGTCAAAAATGTTCCCTTACAGTTTCTCGATTGCTAACACACATTTATTTTTAAATTGCTCAGTTTCTCAGAACACTAAACACAATTCACAAAACCACACACCCAAAGTGCAAAACACCTAATTTCTCCTGCTAAGTGAAGAACTGCCCTCAAAACTACATAAACACTTACCAAATGCAAACTTTAGCACCAGATATAACACACTTCATTCATAATACTAGATGGTTTGACCACCCAACTACACACTGCTGAGCATAATCTAAAGCACGTTAATCTTTTATGGGCTATGCTCTGTACAGAGAGGTTTCTGCAGAGAAAGATTGCTTGAGTATACAGAAATACAGTAAATGAAGAAATACAAATGAGTTGTTGAGAGAAATCACATTTTATTCAAAAATAACATTGTGCAACATGCATCTTAGCACATAGCTACTATGCTTCGGATCTCTCTAAGTGGGATGCATTGTTTGCTAAAACCAAGTTTGTAACTGCTGCTTCCTGTGCCTCATTGGAAATCCTTGGCCTTCCACCTCTTTGTTTCTCAGTCCTTCAGATAAACAACAAAGACATAGTGGTTGGTCAGTGTCTGTGTTGCATAAAAGTGAGTCTACCACAGTCCATTGTGCAGGATGTTTGTACAGTTATAGTATGCAACATGCCAACAATTCAATTACAGTAATGAAGTAAATACGTTTCACACAACAGATATAAGCTCTGATATATCATGAATTATGCAGAGCTAAAAAACTGGTAACTAACCTGTTTTCAAGTCTAAGTGTCCGGATTACAGAGGCAACAGTAAATCGGCTTAGATTAGGCTGAACCCTCCGTCCAGCCTCTCATCGTCAAACCATGGTTGATAACATTTCATTTCATTAGAGTATTCTTCTTTGTCCACGTCCTCTCCCTCCACCTCTACCTCTCATTCTTCCTCCTCTCACTCTCACCCACCTCTTCCTCCTCCTCTCACTCTCAGCCCAGCTCTTCCTCTTGCTTCCATTGTTGCTGTAAGAAAGTACTCACCTGTGGTCTTTTTATAGTGCTAACATCCTGATTGATGAGCCAACAATTATGCTACCAGGTGTTTGGTCAGGTGGAACGTGTTTCTTGATCATTGGTCCATGTGTGAGGCATTTTGAATATCAGTGTTTTAAACCTGCTAACACGTGACTTTATGTCAGATTCCTGTGTCTTACGTGGAGAAACGTGTGCAGTGGTTTGCAAAAAGTGCCATGTTGATTGGCAAATTGTGTGAAAAGCTGAAAACGTGTTTAGAGTTTGAAGATTTGAGCCGATGTTTTGCTCTTTGAGTGTCAGTTAAAATAATTGTGCTTTATGTGTAATTTTAGTGTGTTAGCAATCGAGAAAAACTGTAAGATTTCCATCTCTTCTTCCATTCTTTCCAACTCAGTTTAAAAATTCATGCAGAAACAGCTGTCGGGTGCTGACCAATCATGAAGCGTCATTTCTTGACTGGCAGCAAAAACAACCAATCACAGCAGTGCTTCTCTGGCTGGCTCTGTCCAATCACAAACAAGAAGTGTTTTCCCTAAAGGAATACCCTTTCCGTAAAAGTTTAAATGTTGAAGTGTTTTGTGAAATGCTGTAGCGTTTTTTGAAATGTCGTTGCGTTTTATGAAATGCTGTTGTGTTTTGTGACATGTTGTTTTGACTTGCACTTCAGGGCCACCATAGTTTGATGCGTTAAAAAACGATTTTATTTGTGTTAAACTACTGCAGCTGACCAAAGCTGGGCTGCAGCTGGAGGGAGAAGGAAGTAGAATCACACTCTGACATTTCAATCCTCTGTGAGAAAGCCCTGCTGGCGGGATATCTGCCAAAGCAACACTGTATTTGGCAGCAAATTGGAAATACAACATACCTTTATAGTGGCAGCTGATGTAAACATATAAATAAAGGAATACGCTGCTGCCAGTTGTCATTGAACTCACAAGACCATTTTTAATGTATGAAATAATGTGCCAAGTTTTTCCCCCCATCTGTGTCATAGCTGAGGGGGTTTCTATCCATCATTTTATTACCTCCATAAAACACTATCAGTATCTCCCAGATGTGCTGCTCAAAGCATAAAACTCCAAGAACACCAAAGCCTTGCAGGGTGTTCGACTTTCACTGTTCTCCTCCTAAAGTTAATGTAGTGTTTTAAACATCCTTCCCACAAGGGTACGGCTGTTGTGCAGTGTATTGTAGACACAACATTTTCAGAGCGGATGCAATATAGATGAGGAATATACAATTAGTCAGCAACTTATTTTAACATCTCTGTCCAGCTTGACAGTTGCAAGACATTTGTGATGTTCTCTATGTGATGGTAACAACAAAAGCAGCACGTTTAGCATCCAATAAATCCAGTCATGTTACATTTCTGCTCTGACTCAAAGAAGTCAAATCATTTTCTGTTAGATGTTTTGCACCTTCTTTTTACTTTACCTTCTTTAATTAATGATGTAGAATATACACACATTATTACATTACATGTTACTTGTTAGACGCTTTTATCCAAAGCGACTTATACTCAATACTGTGGACAATCCCCACAGGAGCAATTTGGGGTGAAGTGTCTTGCCCAGTGACATAACAACATGCTCACTGCAGTGGGGTTTGAACCTGTTACCCCCTGATCCCAACACCATTGCTCTACCCACTGCGCCACACGCCTCAAACATATGATACAAAACCCTGAACATCCTGCTAAATTAAAAGTCATGGCCTAAAGGAGTGATGTTTTTAATGACCATGAACTACAACGGCCTTTATTAAGGTTTAGCTGGGGACTTTGCAGTCAAGATAAGTATTCAGATATTTTACGAAAGTAAAAGTTCTTATACTACAGAGTAAATATTCTCTCTCTGATACAAGTAAATGTCCTGCATTAGAAACGTTACTTAAGTAAAAGTAAGTGAGTATATCAGCTAAATGTATAGTATTTAAAGGTAAAAGTATATGCAAAGAAAAAAACATACCAAATATATAAAATTGTTCAAAACAAATAAGTAAATTAACTTAATGCTCATGCCAAATACTTACTAATCTCTAAACTGGGTATCTGATTAACAGACTTAGCTGTTCTCAGTCATTTGTAACTTCATCCGACTGCTTTGGCCATGCTTCAGTATTATTGCTTCAGCTTCTTTTTTAATGAAAGATATTTCTATACTTCTCCCCTGCTCAGTCAGCCATTCTTCTTTTTCTTCTTGTTTAGGTTTTTTGGCGGATTGCAAACAACTTTAAGGTGCATACTGCCACCTACTGTACAAGAGTGTGTATCACCATATCATCCTATCACCACTTGTGGAATTATACCACTGTGTTTACGTTGTTTTAAATTCTTCCAATCAATCATGTTTCACTCAAATACTTAAGAATGGCCTTCCTGGCAGCTCTCACCCCCTCACCTTCTGTTCCCAGTATGCCCATCAGGCTCCAGTCCCTTCCTGCCTCTCTGACCCTGTCTCTTAGTTTTCCCCTCTCTGTTTTGTACATGTTGCAGTGTAAAATGATATGTTCCACATTTTCTTTCACTCCACACCCCCTGCATTCTTCAACTTCACTTGTTCCCATTATAAACATTGTGCCGTTTAATCCTGTATGATCCAATCTGAGTCTATGATGATGATCTCCTCCCGTCTGTTCCTTTCTGTTTAGATCTTTGTTATGATTGATTTCTGTAACTTGTGGCATCTCCTCCCTTTCTGATCTTCCTCCAACCATTTCTGCCATATTTCCA